TATAACCCCCTCAAACTGTATTAAACCCCCTCAAACTGTATTTAAACCCCCCTCAAACTGTATTAACCCCCTCAAACTGTATTAAACCCCCCTCAAACTGTATTAAACCCCTCAAACTTTATTAACCCCCTCAAACTGTATTAAACCCCCCTCAAACTGTATTAAACCCCCTCAAACTTTATTTAACCCCCTCAAACTGTATTAAACCCCCCTCAAACTGTATTAAACCCCCTCAAACTGTATTAAACCCCCTCAAACTTTATTTAACCCCCTCAAACTTTATTAAACCCCTCAAACTGTATTAAACCCCCTCAAACTGTATTAAACCCCCTCAATCTTTATTTAACCCCCTCATGTATTTAACCCCCTCAAACTGTATTAAACCCCCTCAAACTGTATTTAAACCCCCTCAAACTGTATTAAACCCCCTCAAACTTTATTTAACCCCCTCAAACTGTATTAAACCCCCCTCAAACTGTATTAAACCCCCTCAAACTGTATTTAACCCCCCTCAAACTGTATTAAACCCCCCTCAAACTGTATTGAACCCCCTCAAACTGTATTAAACCCCCCTCAAACTGTATTAAAACCCCCTCAAACTTTATTGAACCCCCCTCAAACTGTATTGAACCCCCTCAAACTGTATTAACCCCCTCAAACTGTATTTAACCCCCTCAAACTGTATTAAACCCCCCTCAAACTGTATTAAACCCCCTCAAACTGTATTTAACCCCCTCAAACTGTATTAAACCCCCTCAAACTTTATTTAACCCCCCTCAAACTGTATTTAACCCCTCAAACTGTATGTAACCCCCTCAAACTGTATTAAACCCCCCCTCAAACTGTATGTAACCCCCTCAAACTGTATTTAAACCCCCTCAAACTGTATGAAACCCCCCTCAAACTGTATTTAACCCCCTCGGAAGGGGAAGGGGGGGGGGGGGAACTGTATAAACCCCCCTCAAACTGTATTTAACCCCCTCAAACTGTATTAACCCCCCTCAAACTGTATTAAACCCCCCTCAAACTGTATTTAACCCCCTCAAACTGTATTAAACCCCCCTCAAACTTTATTTACCCCCCTCAAACTGTATTAAACCCCCCTCAAACTTTATTTAACTCCCTCAAACTGTATTAAATCCCCCTCAAACTGTATTTAACTCCCCTCAAACTGTATTAAACCCCCCTCAACTGTATTTAAACCCCCTCAAACTGTATTAAACCCCCTCAAACTGTATTAAACCCCCCTCAAACTGTATTTAAACCCCTCAAACTGTATGAAACCCCCTCAAACTGTATTTAACCCCCTCAAACTGTATTAAACCCCCCTCAAACTGTATTTAACCACCCCTCAAACTGTATTAACCCCCCTCAAACTGTATTAAACCCCCCTCAAACTGTATTAAAACACTAAAACCCCTCAAACTGTATTAAACCCCCCTCAAACTTATTTAACTCCCTCAAACTGTATTAAACCAAACCCCCCTCAAACTGTATTAACCCCCCTCAAACTGTATTTAACTCCCTCAAACTGTATTAAACCCCCCTCAAACTGTATTTAACCCCCTCAAACTGTATTAAACCCCCCTCAAACTGTATTAAACCCCCCTCAAACTGTATTTAACCCCCTCAAACTGTATTAAACCCCCCTCAAACTGTATTAAACCCCCCTCAAACTGTATTTAAACCCCCTCAAACTGTATTTAAACCCCCTCAAACTGTATTAAACCCCCTCAAACTTTATTTAACCCCCTCAAACTGTATTAAACCCCCCTCAACTTTATTAAACCCCCCTCAAACTTATTTAACTCCCTCAAACTGTATTAAACCCCCTCAAACTGTATTTAACCCCCTCAAACTGTATTAAACCCCCTCAAACTGTATTAAACCCCCCTCAAACTTTATTTAACCCCCTCAAACTGTATTAAACCCCCCTCAAACTGTATTAAACCCCCCTCAAACTTTATTTAACTCCCTCAAACTGTATTAAACCCCCCTCAAACTGTATTTAACTCCCTCAAACTGTATTAAACCCCCCTCAAACTGTATTTAACTCCCTCAAACTGTATTAAACCCCCCTCAAACTGTATTTAACCCCCTCAAACTGTATTCAACCTCCCTCAAACTTTATTTAACCCCCTCAAACTCCCTCAAACTCCCTCAAACTTTATATAAACCCCCTCAAACTTTATTTAAACCCCTGAAACGTTCCTCCTGCAGCTGTTTGTGATCGAGGTGAGGACTAAAGGCGGGGGGAAGTATCTGATCTATCGGAGGTACAGAGATTATTTCAACCTGCACCAGATCCTGGAGTCCAGATATTCCCCTGAAGACCCCGAGAGACCCGGACCCAACACCTGCACGATGCCTTCACTGCCCGGTGAGCTCGGGATTCACAGCGCTCACATTCATGTCTGTCAGCAGGGGGAATATCACCCTCTGAAATATGAATAATCTGCTTCCTCTGTAACAACGCTGCCATTCACTGCTAATGCTTCAGCAGGCGACTCAAAGAAAACATCTGAGAAACTCTGTGTCCACCTGTCTGCAGTCATTAACTAGAAATAATGTTAGTTATAATGAAAAAGCGCTAATAAGAATGCAAACTAATCCCCTTTAAGTCTTTATTTTGATTCACTCTACTGTGTTTGTGAACATTTTATACATTTTTTACTTACATTTTTGCAGTTTTAGTGTTCTAAAACACTCTAAATCTCTAAATTTGAAACAAACTTTTTTCGTTTTAGAGAAAATAAACTCTAAATTTGAAATCAGAGTCCTCAGATGCTCATGATTTCTACCATTTGACTTTATGAGTTAAGAGAACAGACTCAATGTGAATCTGTTGTGCTGTGATCGACATGATGGTCTTGATCCAGGATCCGGAGATACCATACTACTCAGGATACTAAGGCTGGAGCCACACAAGGGCGATAACGCAAACGGACCGCAATCGTTGTCAAAAAAGTCTTCCGTCCACACGCAACAGGCGCCAGAAACGTGTCCGTTCACACGAGACCCCTCCAAAGCGCTGGAGACGCTGTAGTACATATGCCAGGCCTGTAAGTGGCGCTGTAGTACATATGCCAGGCCTGTAAGTGGCGCTGTAGTACATATGCCAGGCCTGTAAGTGGCGCTGTACTCCTGCCACAAAAGCAGCGAAGAAGACTTCACGCGCATGGTTGCCATGGTTGCCCTTCTGTTTATTCTCCGCTGTGGACGCTCTGGCTCTTTTTCTCCCTCCCCGAGGCAAGCGTTTGCTGCTGCTGTAATTCTCTCCGGTTAGTCCACCATCAGATGACAAACACCCACCTCTCCGCCTCTTCGTATGGAACGAGGGGACCGTGCGGCAGAGTTTCAGTTAGATTTTTTTTCGCCGGTCAACATGTCCGTTAAAGTTTAAATCTTCCGGACAAAATTAGAAAAGTGCCGGTCAGATGTCTTCTTTGTTATTTATTGAGCTTTAAAACAAATGAATAACGACTCTATATAATAATATAAGAATAAAAAACGGAGCCTCTCTTTTCCTCCCCCTCTTCTGAGAGCCCAGCAGCTGATCTCTGAGCAGGAGAGGTGGGGCTATTATCAGGAAATGATCGTATAGGCGTAAACACGGAGCCGTTTGCCCCCCAGAGCGTTTCGTTTGCAGATCTACCCACCTAGGGACCCGTTATCTTTATCGTTTTCTGCGTTTCCATGTCGGCCTCGTGTGGCCGAACCGTCTATCTCAGTGGTTCTCAAACCAACGGACGGAAATCCCATGCTCAGAAAATGCTCATATATATTTTTTTCAAAGGGGGTACATTATTGAAAAAAGTTTGAGAACCACTGGTTTATCTGATAGTGAACTGTAGCAGATACGACCGTTATCGTCCTCGTGTGGCCGGGGCCTAAGATAGTGAATTTGCTCTACATTGTACTCAGTTTAGTGTTAGCATGCTTTGATTAGCATTAGCAGGTTTCAGACTAGGTAAATGGTCTGCTGTGATCTAAAGGCCCTGATAGAGGAGATGGGCTCCTTCAGCCCTAATAAATAACTCAGTTAATAAAAACTACAACGAGTTGTGATTCGGGAACCTGAGACAAATGCTGCTGCAGCTCAGAGTGAGGACATCTGTTAGTGTTGACTAATCTACGTGTGTGTGTGTGTGTGTGTGTGTGTGTGTGTGTGTGTGTGTGTGTGTGTGTGTGTGTGTGTGTGTGTGTGTGTGTGTGTGTGTGTGTGTGTGTGTGTGTGTGTGTGTGTGTGTGTGTGTCCTCGTCTGCTCCCTCGCTCCTCTTTCATTCTGCACCTCGTTGTTTTCCCATAATGCCCTCTGTCTGTGAGCCGCCGTCACTATCGATTATCAGAGGCTGCAGAACATTGTGTGTGTGTGTGTGTGTGTGTGTGTGTGTGTGTGTGTGTGTGTGTGTGTGTGTGTGTGTGTGTGTGTGTGTGTGTGTGTGTGTGTGTGTGTGTGTAAATGACTTAGGTGACTATATTCTTACTATAAAGAATAATAATGTTCCTTTGTTCGCTCTGTATGTTGCATCCAGATTGAATTCAGCTTGAACTCAAACAGAGTTATTCAGACATGTCACCCTAAAGACAGAAACACACGTTGTGTCTCTCACCTGCGGAGCTATCAATCAATCCAGACAGTTTCTCTGCAGTATCATTATTATAGATGGCTCTCTGCTTAGCGCTAGAAAAACAATAATACCTACAAAAAAGTAATCTCCCTTTCCTCAAATCACGTCCCTGTTCCTGGAGTTTATCCTGGTTGAGAGCCGGTCATACAGGAGCTGTGACCTACTTGAAGAATATCCAATCAAGATTATTTTTGACTGATATTGTTATTACGATATGATTCATGTTATCATCTTTACCTCCTTTAGTGCCATACTCGCCCTGTTTCACTCTCAGCTGTCGTAGAAATGCATTTCAAAGTGAAGGTAGAATGTAAAGTGAATCCTAGAAATGGAGACGTTTAGGGGACGAGCTGCAGACTCAGGGCTTCAGAAACCCTTTAAAGAATAGCTAATATTTTCATAGAAACAGGCAGAAAAACAATCATGCCGTCTCCACCAAGAGAGGATCGTTTTAATGCATACAAATAAAGACTTCTTTGGACTAAGATCCATTTGAAACTTCATGAATCTCTGATCGTTGCTTTTCTATTTTAGGAAAGTTCTACTTTTCTCCAAACTCTGATTCAGAGTCACAGAGGAGCTGAGATAATATGAAATGTGACGGGATTCATTTCAGAGCCAGATCTCATCAGGACGGGGGGGAATAAGAGAGGAAGGAGAGAAGGAGAGAAGGAGAGAAGGAGGGAAGGAGAGAAGGAGAGAAGGAGAGAGGATGGAACAGGATTCAGGTCTCAGAATCTGGATTAATACAAACTAATTATGGGAAAATAAAAATATCTTTATGCTCCTTTTCCCTCCCTCTTTTCACCCTTAGTAATTGTTATTGAATAAATATATCAGAAATATGTATATAAGAAGTCTCTGTCCATGTTTCATATAGCAAAAGTCATAGTGTGTTTCCTCAAATAAAAGCATTATCTTTTGCACATCTATTTTATCATTTGTATTTGTGCCTCTCTACCGTTTATCGGTGCGTTGCTAACCCTCTTTGCACGGAGTAGTGTCTGTGTGCAGGGCATCTGTCATCTTCTATTTTAGATATGTAGACGTCACTAATATTGCATTTCCCCTTTAATCTATCTTTCAGTTTGCACTCTGTTGTTATTCTGAAGTTCAGTGTGTGTGCATTATGCTCCACAAAACATCAGCAACATGTGCAATCATCCAAAGCCTGTGATGCATCCATGTATCCTGAATTCCAACGTGTACACCTCTTACTGCTGAGTCCTTGAAGGCACCCTGTGGAGTTAACAGTAAGGTGCTTGCCTCACTGACTTGAAGGCACCCTGTGGAGTTAACAGCAAGGTGCTTGCCTCACTGACTTGAAGGCACCCTGTGGAGTTAACAGCAAGGTGCTTGCCTCACTGACTTGAAGGCACCCTGTGGAGTTAACAGCAAGGTGCTTGCCTCACTGACTTGAAGGCACCCTGTGGAGTTAACAGCAAGGTGCTTGCCTCACTGACTTGAAGGCACCCTGTGGAGTTAACAGTAAGGTGCTTGCCTCACTGACTTGAAGGCACCCTGTGGAGTTAACAGTAAGGTGCTTGCCTCACTGACTTGAAGGCACCCTGTGGAGTTAACAGCAAGGTGCTTGCCTCACTGACTTGAAGGCACCCTGTGGAGTTAACAGTAAGGTGCTTGCCTCACTGACTTGAAGGCACCCTGTGGAGTTAACAGCAAGGTGCTTGCCTCACTGACTTGAAGGCACCCTGTGGAGTTAACAGCAAGGTGCTTGTCTCACTGACTTGAAGGCACCCTGTGGAGTTAACAGCAAGGTGCTTGTCTCACTGACTTGAAGGCACCCTGTGGAGTTAACAGCAAGGTGCTTGTCTCACTGACTTGAAGGCACCCTGTGGAGTTAACAGCAAGGTGCTTGTCTCACTGACTTGAAGGCTCCCTCTGGAGTTAACAGCAAGGTGCTTGTCTCACTGACTTGAAGGCACCCTGTGGAGTTAACAGCAAGGTGCTTGTCTCACTGACTTGAAGGCACCCTGTGGAGTTAACAGCAAGGTGCTTGTCTCACTGACTTGAAGGCTCCCTGTGGAGTTAACAGAAAGGTTTACTCTCAACGTTTCTTACCAACACTGGTTGTGTGCTTCCTTATGAAACCGTTAGCAACCATGTTTAAAGTATTTTAAACTGTGAGTCGTTGATGTCCCTGTGTCTCTGTGTTGGTGCTCATCGTCTCTGCGTGGAACAGAGTCCTCTATAAGTTGAAAGTGTGGAGGCGCATCGTTGGGTGAAAACTATCCTGCAGAATATCTCTAAAGTCCTGCATAATGATTCAGTCTGCTTTTCTGTTTGCACGCTGTAAGAAACACGAGTGAGATGTGCACGTCCTGCAGGCTCTTCTATAAAAACCGTGCACAGCGTGAGTGGGAGTGATGGTTAAACTCTTCCTCCTCCTCTCCCTCCTCTCCCTCCTCCTCCTCCTCTCATTGTGTTTCTCTCCAGGTAAAGTCTTCCTGGGCAACAAGAGGGAGATAGCAGAGAGCAGGATCCCTGAACTCAACACGTACATGAAGGTGACCTTTTCATCTTCCTCTCTTCCTCTCTTCATCTTCATCTTCCTCTGGTTTTTCCAAACATCTACAGTTAACGCACCTGTATTTATTGAGTATTTACATGTAGCTAACATCTTCCAGTGTGCAAACTTAACAAATAATATGAAGTATTTAATTATATATTTGTCTTAACACATATTAATCCCCCGCCCCCCCCCAGAGGCTGCTGGGTCTCCCAACATGGCTGCTATTGGACGAGGCTCTCCGGATGTTTTTCTATCAGACGGAGCAGGACGGGCAGCATCAGCCCAGAGCTCTCAGGAGACTCCGACCCCCCACCCGAAAAGTGTAAGCACCCCCCCCAATACTACACAAATATTAAACCTGTCACCAAACGATAACGATACGATAGGATAATACTTTATTGGTCAGATCAAGTCTGAAATGCTCCTTGCATCACAGCAGCTCCATGTGTAACATCAACAGACGCACATCAAGACACAACACATGGAAAACAATCAACAAACATGGAACATAACAGCAGGATCAGTGAGAGATGCTCACAGAGCCTTCAGCGTGATCTGATCTGTAGCTCTGTGTTCACTGAGAGGACTGGAGCTCAGAGGATGCTTCAGGCTGACTTTATTCAATCTCCATTAGATGGAGCAGTTCATATTCTCTGTTCAGAACACTACGGCCAGTGATTGGTCAACTGCTTAGAGATGTCCCGCCCCTTAGCCTATCACGTACAATGTGTCGGAGCGCTAGCCAATAGAAGGGTGAGTGTTACAAAGTGATGTCACTATGTTCCGGAAGTAAACCTATGAGTCCAATGGAGGCGTGTGGAGGGAACACATGTGGATTTTAGCCTCTGCAGACCATTAACATGCACTAAAACCTATAGAACACAGAAAGCTAAATGTCTTTAAAACATTCAGACTGGACTTGTTATATTAGTGATGACATATAACCAGAGGTGGGGGACTCGAGTCACATGACTTGACTCGAGTCACATGACTTGACTCGAGTCAGACTCGAGTCGCATCTTTTTGGACTCGAGACTTGCTTGACTAACATTGATAAAAGACTTGACTTGACTTTGACTTGGTATTCATGACTTGAGACTTGACTTGACTTGAGACAGATGACTCGAAAGGACTTCACTTAAAATTAAATATTTGCATTTGTTTTTGTATTGTACGGAGCCCCTAAAGGGCAATGAAAAAAAAAAAGATACTGTATCTCGTTCGCACGAGAAAGTTACCGGAGCGCCAAGTAGGAGGTGGAGCACACAGGAGACAGCCGTTTCTTTGCAGACTGTTATGTTTATGTTGGGAAATGGCAGTGCATACATTATTTTATATATATTTCGAACTCGGACTCTCATTCACTTCATGAAATCGCTACAGCACCAGGAGGCAGCGGGACGTGTAACTCCGCCTCTGAGAAGTGCAGCACCTTGTGACTTGCTTGACCTGAGCAATGACTTGACTTGACTTGCTTGACTCTCACCACAGTGACTTGGGACTTGCTTGAGACTTGTAGGTTAAGACTTGAGACTTGTAGGTTAAGACTTCAGACTTGTAGGTTAAGACTTGAGACTTGCTCATGACTTGCACATGTAGGACTTACTCCCACCTCTGCATATTACCCTTTTTTTTAAGAAGCACAAAAATCATTGTGGTGATCATTGACATTATGCCAATCACTTCCCACAATACATTGCAGTGGTGCAGAAAGTTAAGAAAGGTTCGGGGGTTAGTTTCTTCACTCTGGTAGAAGTTAAACAGCAGCAGATCTACACTAAACGTAGCAAAAAGCAGCTGGATTGTCTTCAGGAGCGAGATATTGAATCGTAAATAAAGGTAAGTTGCAATTAATTTATGAGGGTTTAAAAACAGCAACAACTCAAATAAATTCTGTTCGTGAACGCGGTGCATACCAGATCCACTATGACTGTTCCTACCTTTCTAAATAAGAGCGCAGAGTATATTGCACATGTATAGGAATTATTAGTTAGATATGAACATCATGTACGTGCAGTAAGTTAAATGGTACAGTAGAAATACAGTGTTTACATGTATATGCTGTATTGACAGTGGTGAAAGTATAAATACACTATTGGTCAGATATATAGAAATGTTGATATGCATTTATTTTCTATATCATTTTATTTGTAATTCATATACAATGCCTTGTGAACATGCTGCTCTAACAAAGCATGATTCTCATTAGGATAAATACGTTGAATCTAATCAAATATATATAATTACAAAATACAATACAGTACTGCACGTTTATTTTGGTTTTATACCACAGAGCATTTAGAGAAATACAATTAAGTACAAATAGAAGCAGTTTAATGCATGTAATAATCTTTAAAACATGTTTTTATCTAAGCTTCAGATATAGGAAGATACCTAATTATACAAAGTGTTTAACAGTAAAAAGGTGCCATCCTTGATGATTTCGGTTTGAAACTGAAGCACCTGCAATTAATGATGAAGGGCCTATTTGAGGGCCTTCGTGTTCCCTAAACGGATTTGCATAAATGTGTTTGTGAATAAGAAATCCTGCAGTAAAAGCAACTTGAGCCCGTAGAAGCGAAGATGGAAAAGTGCCTCCTTTTATCTGTTCACCGTCATTAGAATCAATCCGGTGCCATTAGGCTTTATGAGAGCAGTTTGCATCCCGTGCAATTATGAATAAAAAGTGAATAAATTAAATAGTGTTTTGATTTTAAAGTAGTCAGAGCCGATGGGGTTCAGGTCGTGTTTAAATGAGGAGGTCAAGTGAGAACAAGCAATAACACGATAAGCCTGTAAAGAGGAAGAGGGTGGATGATAACAGACTTTCCCTCAACATAAAGGGCTTGAACCTTGAATTTTACTGAAAAATATCATATTTATATTAAACAGGTACATGCAAATATACTCTGCGCTCTTCATGCAGTGATGATATAGATACCTATCGATTCTGTGTATTCTCACGATGTTAATCGATATGTTGGATGTGCAGTTACGATAAGTAATAAGGGTGTTATACCGTGTTTTCTGTGCTAACGGCGTTAGCAATTTTTCGCTCGAGGCTAATTCAGAGGCTCAGCGTTAGCTTTGTGGTTTTTTTTTGCAAAAAAAAAAAAAAAGTTCAGTTAGCTGAGTTTCTTCCCGTTACATGGATATGAAACATTCATAGTTTATTAAATATTAAGAAGCCCTCAGACGCTGTTTCCTGCAGATGATGCGTTTGTCCCCCCGGTGGCGGGGGGATGGGGTTTAACAGGTTGAAGTAGAGACACTACATACTGATGTACACCTGAACATCAGCAGGAGATGACTCTTTAAAGTAGAGACACTACATACTGATATACACCTGAACATCAGCAGGAGAGGACTCTTTAAAGTAGAGACACTACATACTGATATACACCTGAACATCAGCAGGAGAGGACTCTTTAAAGTAGAGACACTACATACTGATATACACCTGGACATCAGCAGGAGAGGACTCTTTAAAGTAGAGACACTACATACTGATATACACCTGAACATCAGCAGGAGAGGACTCTTTAAAGTAGAGACACTACATACTGATATACACCTGAACATCAGCAGGAGAGGACTCTTTAAAGTAGAGACTCTACATACTGATATACACCTGAACATCAGCAGGAGAGGACTCTTTAAAGTAGAGACACTACATACTGATGTACACCTGAACATCAGCAGGAGATGACTCTTTAAAGTAGAGACACTACATACTGATATACACCTGAACATCAGCAGGAGAGAACTCTTTAAAGTAGAGACACTACATACTGATATACACCTGAACATCAGCAGGAGAGGACTCTTTAAAGTAGAGACACTACATACTGATATACACCTGAACATCAGCAGGAGAGGACTCTTTAAAGTAGAGACACTACATACTGGTATACACCTGAACATCAGCAGGAGAGGACTCTTTAAAGTAGAGACACTACATACTGATATACACCTGAACATCAGCAGGAGAGGACTCTTTAAAGTAGAGACACTACATACTGATATACACCTGAACACCAGCAGGAGAGGACTCTTTAAAGTAGAGACACTACATACTGATATACACCTGAACATCAGCAGGAGAGGACTCTTTAAAGTAGAGACACTACATACTGATATACACCTGAACATCAGCAGGAGAGGACTCTTTAAAGTAGAGACACTACATACTGATATACACCTGAACATCAGCAGGAGAGGACTCTTTAAAGTAGAGACACTACATACTGATATACACCTGAACATCAGCAGGAGAGGACTCTTTAAAGTAGAGACACTACATACTGATATACACCTGAACATCAGCAGGAGAGGACTCTTTAAAGTAGAGATTTGTGTATGATTAGATGTACAACATTCTCTCTCCTACTTACATGGATTCAGTTAAGTCACAAACATTAACAGAAACAGGGATATTTATTTGAAGTATTGAGAAAACCCAGCGTAGACGTGTTACCGTTTTTTCACACATGCACTTCCTCTTTCCTAACGGCGGTTCTGGCTCCTGATTGGCTCACAGGCCTGTGGTGAGTTACAGCAGGAGATGTGGTAAAGTTGGATTCTCTCAACAGGAAGTGATGCAAAGCTGGACTCTCATCACTTCCTCTGCTCCTGCCTTTAATCATATAAACCTTTTATATGAGTAGGAACTTTACAAAGACTCTGTGACACTTCCTCTTTCTAACGTCTGATAGTTCTTTGAAACTAGAAGCAGAAAATACTAACCCTAAGGAGCACGATTTAACTTGTGCCTATTATTTGAGAGATTTATAAAACAGCAACACTTAATTACTCCATTCAAAGGAGCTACTAGAGTTTACTTTTCACAATAAAAGCCCTAGAAGTATGATGTTAACATTTGAGCAGTTCATTTATTTGTCGCTTGGTGTTTAAGGCCTGAACAGTAAATACAAAATAAGAAAGTGTACTAATTTAGACTAAATTAAAGTGCAGACCGTCAGACTTTAGAGGTCAGATGTTGCTCCTCCATAAAATGTTTTTTATTATAGATTACACCTCCAGCGTTTGTGGCTGACTTCTATCTGTCGTCTTATCTCTTTTAAATCCCTCTTATATCTCTCTTGTGTTTTAGGAAGACGGTGAAGCCGAAGATGGACGTTTTCTCCTCCCCCCGTGCAGAGGTGTGTGTAGTAACAGTTTAACAGTTTGTAGTTGTTGTTGCTCTGGTTACTATCTCCATGCCACCCACAGAGAAACAACTTTTATATTCATGCAACCAACGCAGCATGCACCGAATCACCCCGAGACACACACACACACACACACACACACACACACACACACACACACACACACACACACACACACACACACACACACACACACACACACACACACACACACACACACACACACACACACACACACACACACACACACACGGCCATGCCCACGTTACTGCATTACTTTGTGAGACTGCAGAAGCCTTAAATCACAAACTTAAGTAGAAACTCTCACAGATGTAGCAATTTCATAATATATCTTTTCAGCATTTATATGTCATCATTTTGTTTGATATCAAGAAAGGCAATAGCAGGAATGAGTCCTAAACTAAACCTGAAATCAGGTCTGTGGTTAACACAAGCTGAAGAGATTTTAACGTTTTGTTCTAGGAAACTGGTGGATTTTAAAATGAAGGTTGGTAACAAGTGTCTAAATGAGATGACTAAACGCCATCACGACCAACATTAGCCGCCTTTAGCTTAGCGGTGGTGACGTGAAGTCATGTGACTCACTTGTCAGATGGTGTGTCACACTTTTCATCCTCCCTCTTGCACGTGACCTTAACAAAAGTTCCTGCCTCGCATCACTTCCTCTTTAATTTCTGTTTCCATCTCTCCTTTTGTATTAACCTCCCTCCCTTGTCCTCACCTCTGCCCTTAAACATCCCTTACGTGTCCTTGTTTCCTTCTCCTCTCTACAAGGTTCATCCTCTCCTTTTTATTATTTGCACGCCCTCTCCCCTGACATCGAGTACAAGCGTTTATATTCTGTGGATGTTTCACCTCAAAGGTGTGTGTGGTTCAGGTGGGGGGGATGCACTCAGAGGTTAAAGTGGTAATGACCTGCCAATTAAATCCTCCAAGGACGAGGAAAAAGGCTTTTATTCTTTGTGAAATCAGCACAATCCCACACTGACCTTTGAACACACACATACACACCTAATAGTTCCTCAAAACCAAAAATGTCCTCACAGAACTGGTTGTTTCTCAATAATTGGTCCTCACATGTATAGCAAAACAAGCACACACCCACACGTTTGTACTTTTATACTTTTAAGGCCCTTAAAACAAACCCATTCCCTAACCCATAACACACTAACTTTAATCCCAAAGTAAACTATAATCCTTTTTAGAAAATAAGAGGAATTTAGGTGCCTTTAAAAATGTCCTTACACTTTAGATGGTCCTCACAAAGGTCAAATAACAAACTAACACACACTCACAAATGTTTGTTCTTCACTACCTCTGAGGACCCAAAAACACACAATTCATTTTCTAATGCCACCAACCTTGATTGCAAACAAAAATATAAACCCTTTAAGGATAGAAGAAGTATCTAAAAATGTCCTTAAACCGCAGGTGGTCCCCACAAAGGTAGAAGAACAAGAGTTCTCATACACACACACTCAATTAGAAAACCAGCATAGTCTATTTTTAAATATAAACCAGCAGAGGCTTGCAGTATCTGTGGAATACAGTTTGTGTAGGAGTGATAGTAATTCAGACTGATGGATGACGGCCATTTAGGCATGCACAATTTTGGATCATGCCGATATTTTCCAACTCTATTCGGCAAATATTGACATACGCACACATTTTATTCCCAGCTGATTGCAGAGAATATGTTCTTATGATGGCCTACTGTCAGATGCAGACATGAAATATACAACGATTTTCACACTTCCTGGTCAAAATAAGAAGCTACGGTAAAATCTAAAACCTGGCATTTCTTTTTGTGTAACATCTCTGTCTGTCATATTAGAGGAAATGATCATTTCTGGACACAATTTCATTTTACAACCAACGCTATGCTTCCCTCACAGCTCAGATGGGACTCTTTACACTGTTGTCTCATGTTTTATAAACCAAACACTTGATTGATTGATTGATTAAGAAAATAATCAGGTCATTATTCGAAAATAATTGTAAAATGTTTCTCGATATTTCAGTAAAGTCACTTTTTTCCATTGCAGGCCTTAAGGCTAGGATGGAGACAGTTTAAGAGAATAACATGTATACAAAATAATATTTTACAGTTATACCTCAGATAAAAACATAGAAAAACATGTATTTTAGATTATCATACAGCAATAGTTTTAAAAACCACACGTTCTATCTTAAAAATGTCCCAAAAGGATGTTGTACTTTACTTTTTTACTTGAAATCCTCTTGTTTTTGCTATTTCTTTTAAATAATATTCAGATTTAATTTAATTTGTGATTTTTGACACACACACACACACACACATATTACCAAACTAAGAGAAACAACTCTATTTTCCTTCCTTGCTTCCCCTCACTCCCACACAAACAAACACCTAATATTTCCTCACAACCAAAAATGCCTTCACAGAACTGGTTGTTTCTCAATATTTGGTCCTCACAAACACATCAAAACAAGCACAAACGCGTGTTTGTTTGTACTTCTATACCTGTGAGGACCATACCACATAATGCATTCCCTAACATCCCTCTACTAACTAACTTAATAACAAACTAAAATATAAATATTTTCAAAAAAGAATGAGAATTGAGGGGCGGTCAAACATGTCCACACGCTCCAGGTGGTCCTCACTAGAACAGCAAAACAAACATACATTTGTACTTCTATACGTCTGATGACCCTAAAAAACACTTTCCTAATGCCACCGACTTAAATCCCAAACTAAAATATAAACCTTTTTAGAAAAGAACCTTGCAAAATCGTTTAGCTTTCTTAAGCTTGCAACACACATACAGACACACACACACACACACACTGGTGGTGTTTTATTACCAAACTAAGAGCAGCAACTCTATTTTCCTTCCCTGCCTCCCCTCCCTCCCACACACAAGTTAAACATTGGTGTACTCTACTCACGAAGCAGCCAGCCTACTCAACTTTATTTTAGATTTTAGCTCTCCCTCTTTCTTTCTGAGAGTGTGTGTGTGTGTGTGTGTGTGTGTGTGTGTGTGTGTGTGTGTGTGTGTGTGTGTGTGTGTGTGTGTGTGTGTGTGTGTGTGTGTGTGTGTGTGTGTGTGTGTGTGTGTGTGTGTGTGTGTGTGTGTGTGTGTGTGTGTGTGCGTGTCCGGCTGTGTGTTTCTACAGTGGCTGTTTAGCTCCGTCCAAACAATGATCGCCGGCTGTAGTGAGGAGGCTTTTTGTCACGGAGTTACGCTACGACACTTCATTGCTCTCCACTTAGCATTAGCTCAGACTGAGCCTCAAACAGCCGGATGAGTAATTGTCGCTACGAGCCTCAAACAAGGTCAACGGGACGCGACCGTTATCACGATTTAAAGGATGCTTCGTCTCATGTGACAGAATCAGGGAGAAGAAACAGAAGCAGACAAAGATAAAAGAGAGACTCTATTTGTGCTATTTTAGAGAAAGGAGTTAAAGGGGCCCTAATCGGCTTTTCTAAATGCATACTGTAGTTCATTCAGAATCCAAGAAACGTCCAAAAGTCCTCGATATTTTTTAAGGATTGCAAGAAATAACACTTGCAATAAGTTGTTGTGCTTAGCTTCTTCCAGAATAATCGTTAATATTGTTGCTAAAGTCACTGTCTATTCAATTATCATTGTAGAGAATTAACGAGTAAAGCCTGATTAACTCAAACAAAATACTTGTCTTGTGAGAAAGACAACCAAACATTTTGTAAGTGTACATTTTTGGGTGTGGGCACCTTTCTTTAAATGCAGCAATACCGTATGATTTATAATTACTTTATTTATTGTCTTTGCTTAATATTGTTAAGTTCACTATCAGTCATGCAATACAAATACAAGGCTAGATTATTAGGCTGTATTAGTTATTCCCTTAGTGCCTTCTTGAGAGGTTTATGCATATTTTTATCAGGCTAATATCATAAAGGGCAGTAATATAGTCCAGGATTATTCCTCTCATATCTCCCGCTGCGTTTACACAACCTCTCACATGCATATCCTCCCGTGACCTTTTAGGAAGTGGGCCATCACTTAATAAAATACTCCATTAAACGTCAGGGGGAGCAGCACCAACTCTCAGTCTGAGGTCTGCTGACGAGCTGAGGTCTGCTGACGAGCTGAGGTCTGCGGAGCTCATTAAGGCGGGGTCGGAGAGTCTAATTGAGCCGATGATTGCTCCGGAGACCCTCGTGAACCTGAGGCTTGCAGGGATGCACCTGCAGAGAACCGCATCTGGATAACGTGCAAGAAGAACTGTCTTATTGTGTGTTTGCATGGCCGATCACGTCTTCTTCTTCTTCAACAGATTTTGTTGGGAAAATCCTGAATGTCCTCTTCCAATGTGAGAGTAACATGCTAACAAAGGTATCCCAACTGTAGCTGTGTACATGACAGGATGTATGATTACCTAGAAGAGCATCAGGACTGTTTGAGGCATATGATAGCTATGTGATTAACATGATGATTCAGCCTCTATGGAGATAGACATATGACAAGCATGCTCATTTCTGACGTGGAGCTAATCTGAAGTAAACATTGAATACTGCTTTCTATTCCTCCATCTTGTGACTGTGTAACTCCCTCTCTTGGATATCAGCATGTGAAGGACACTGTTCAGGAACTAGTTGATGCTCTGTATGTGATGACTACTTCCATTCTGGAGAGGATTACAGATACATGGATCCTGAGATTGAAGCTCAAGCCGGGGACCAGGGAGAGTTTTCTAACAGATGACTATCCTGCATGGATTAATATCCTCCTGCATGGTTGTTGGTAGCGCTGCTAAAAGGTCAATCACAGAACCGAGGTCTTTCTCGTGTTGTTGTGTTGTTGGCCAAAAGTTGCATTGTTTGGTGATGGTGACACCTTGCATGTTGTTTTTTGTCTGATTAGGCTATACAGTGACAGATTAGACAATTCTTTCCCTGTTTCTCTGGATTGCTTTAGTGTGAATTGCGAGTATTTTTACTATAGAGATGTTGTCCTACTTTCAAATTGCAAAATGAAGCAACCATCTACTCATGAACAAGAGCCTTGTGACGGTGCGGGAGGCGAACGCTAAGTTAGCAAGCGGAGAAAATGCACGATTTGATGATCAGAACTGTCTTATTGTTTGCTTGCATGTCCGATCAAACTGAGCTGGTGTCACTGCTTCTTCTCCTTCGACAGATTTGATCCTGTATGGTTGTTGCGTAGCGCTGCTCAAAGGTTTCTCTTTGATTCAGAAAGTAGTGTCATTGCCCAAAAGTTGCATTGTTTGTCTGGCAACATGATGGGGACATCTTGCATGTTGTAGATTTCACTTTTTTTGTCTGATTAGGCCATAAAGTGACAGATTAGACAATTCTTTCCCTGTTTCTCTGGATTGCTTTAGTGTGAATTGCGAGTATTTTTAATATTGAACTATAGAGATGTTGTCCTACTTTCAAATTGCAAAATGAAGCAACCATCTACTCATGAACAAGAGCCTTGTGACGGTGCGGGAGGCGAACGCTAAGTTAGCAAGCGGAGAAAATGCACTGTCCTTGCTAAATAACGGAGCTAACAGCTAACATTATTGGAGGTTTTATTGGGTTAGGTTATGGTTGCGTTAAGGCGTTATTCAGTAAAAATGTGCATTGGTCAAAGATAAGAAGAATTTGGTACCAATAATCGCTAGTTTAACAACATTTCTGGTATCACGACATATTCCTACTACCTATTTTTACGATTTCTTGCGGTGTGAATATTGTCACAGTTACGAAGTCTATTTCTTGCAAGCTAAATGCAGCAATTTACATTCATGTAAATGGATCACACTCGTGCAGTCAGCGATTTATTGAGTTCTCATCTGGTCATTACTGTTAGAGACACGGAGGAAAATAACCAATGATATGGAGAAACAGGAATAGAGACAAAGGGAAGAGGACAGGTGGAAGTGATGTGATGAAGAGGAGGGAGGTGATGGTGAGGAGAGATGAAGGAGGAATTGCTTTGTCGCTTCATATTTGGAGTTTGTGTCGGAGATCAACACGTTCTCACAGCAGCCATAAATTACTGCCAGCGGCGGCTCAGCGCTGCAATAACAGAGCGTCTGGAATACAGCGGCAAAAATAGCAGACCCAAATTCAATATGATGGAGTGTGTAGGGTGTGTGTGTGTGTGTGTGTGTGTACGTGTGTGTGTCCTCGGGGTCAGGATAATCTCAATAGATTGTTAATCCAGCTGACTCCCTCACTCCCCAGCTTCATTAATCTGCCACCAGCCTCTGTCTCATTTTTGACACACACACACACACACACACACACACACACACACCGTACACACACACACACACACACACACACACACACACACACACACCGTACACACACACACACACACACACACCTTACACACACACAGACACCAGACATATTGAATATTGATAGATAGATACTTTATTGATCACAATTTGGGAAGTTATTTTATATAAACGTTCGATTTGTAACCCACTTTCCAATGCCACTTCCTTCATACTTGTGATATTTTGTGTAGAATCTAACGACAGCTTCATTTGCATTTTGTAAAACTCTTGTGCGTTGTTATCGATGCTCATCAACTTAACACACGGTAGACGTTTGGAAACTGCTGAATTCGGTTTAGGCAACAAAACGACTTGGTGAGAGTTAGAGAAAGAGACAACTGCAGATGGACTCCGAGTCGTAGCATCACGTGACATAATGCCGTTAGTAAAAGATAATCTCATTTTGGTTTCACATGAAGATGAGCACAGTTTCCCTGAGATGACAAAATCCTGTTTTAGTTCACACAAATCCACCAATCCTGACCTCAGCAGACTTTAAAATTCTCTTAGTAGTGCTTACAGATGTCCCGCCCCTTAGCCTATCACGTTCAGTGTGCTGCAGCGCTAGCCAATAGGAGTGTGAGTATTCTATACTCATGTGTCCTGGTTAACTCAGGATCCAGACTAGATCCAAGTTGCATTTCAAAGAACAGAGATGTCATGGTTTATGGTATAAATGTGTAAAACATGATAAAAGTCAGTTTATAGCATTAGATATGATGCAGTAACAGGAGACCAGAGGAAACGCACTGCTACCTTTGTTCAAAATACTAATACCTCTGAAGCATTTGGGAGTGCACAAGTCAACTACATATATAACATAGGGCAGCAGAAGTTAAACATATTATATTCATTCTGCACGTTTATCCCCTCACTCCTTCAGCACTCTGCAGTCCTGCACCTCCGCTAAACTTTCCTCATCTCCTCATCTCCTCCTCCTCCTCCTCCTCCTCCTCCTCCTCCTCCTCCTCCTCCTCTTCCTCTTCACCTCTTCCCACTCTTTTAACCGCTGCTCGTTCTTTTTTTGGTACGAGCAGCGGTCTCTCCTGATCCTCCGATTCTATTTTAGTTTCAACATCTCTGTCTTTGCTTCGTGTGTGTGTGTGTGTGTGTGTGTGTGTGTGTGTGTGTGTGTGTGTGTGTGTGTGTGTGTGTGTGTGTGTGTGTGTGTGTGTGTGTGCGTGTGCGTGTGCGTGTTGCTACTCTAACATCTGCATGTGCGAAGAGTCTCTTTGCAAAATAACAGAAACAGGTTTACAGCATCAACTGAGTTCTGTTTTAAAGGCTCCATTAGCTGTAGCATGCTGTCATTCTGACACACAGCTGCTAACCAGCAACTCAAGCATCCAACACACACACACACACACACACACACACACACACACTTAAAGATGTGCAGAAAACCCTAAGGTTTCCTCAAGCACATCCAGTATATTGTATATAAACAGATACACTCTGTATACATGTAGTACAGAGTAATCAACGGATAAACAATCAATACTGAGGTCCATAAACATCTTTAGGTGGGCGGATTGTCAACTGGGAATTATGCAACTGGATCTGTATCACTGTTTCTCTTTTAGAGTTGCATTATTTCAATGATGAACACGTGCTTTAACCTTGAATCAAATCATTGTATTTACGATGGGCTTTTATTTTGAAGTTCCCACTGAACATCTGTGTCTCTAAGTGCATCTAAAGTGGCCATTACAACATCCTCTCATGCTGATCACAATCCCCTGAATTTGAACTATATCACATCGTAGCAATAATTCTTATATCAGCAGATATTATATCTTGATGCAACTTGTTGATGAAACCCCTAATCTTGATGGATACATGGACACAATCGTGCAACACAACAATATCACCAAAATACATTTCAACACATTACATAAGGCTTGCAAATAACTGCTCCACTGAAACACTGCAGCTGCACACAATGAGCATCCTACTCACACACACACACACACACACACACACACACACACACACACACACACACACACACACACACACACACAAATCTTAACTTTGTCAAACTGAGTAAAAACACCCTCTTCCTCACTCATGCTCACTCTCATCCATCAGAAGTGTTTACCTGTCGGCTCTCTTCTCTCTGAGTGTGTCCGTGTCCTCTCTCGTTCTCTCTCCTCTCTCTCTCACTCGTGTGTGTGTGTGTGTGTGTGTGGTTTCTTGTGTGTGTGTGTGTGTGTGTGTGTGTGTGTGTGTCCCAGGTGATGTTTGAGTTTCGCGGCAACAGCAAAGCGGAGTTGGACCTGAAGAAGGGAGACGTGATCTTCCTGCTGCAACGAGTCAACGCTGACTGGCTGGAGGTGAGGATGGAGAGAGAGAGAGTGAAAGAAGGAGGGAGGGAGGAGAGAGAGAGAGAGAGAGAGAGAGAGAGAGAGAGAGAGAGAGAGATAGAGAGTGAAAGAGGAGGTGGAGGGGGAGAGAGACCTGAGCCAAGAAGAGTTAAAAATGGAAAGAGAGAGGAGGAGAGTAAAAGAGGAAGGGATGGTTAAAGGGAGTAAAACAATGAAAGGGGGAGAGAGGGGAATATCCTACAAAAGGAAATGGCTCAGGCATTTTTGGAGGGTAGCGTCTAAAGCAACGTTATCAGGAGACAATATATTTATCAGCTGTTTTGATCCGAAACGCTAAATATAACCATCCTTACAAAGAGACGCTCTTTCCAGAGACATTAATGACATCTGGACTCATGAGCTATGAGCAGAGTTCATGGATCACTTTCACTTATGTCGGCGCCTCTCTGGAGTTTGGCTTTAGCGCTTAAACCTGACAATGAAACCATACAACCGTCCGGACAGCAGTCAGAGAAGCTAATGTTACATTTCATTAGATGCCACTTGTTAGACGCTTTTATCCAAAGCGACTTACATACTCAGTACTGTGGAAAATCCCCACAGGAGCACTTTGGGGTGAAGTGTCTCAGGGACACAACGACATGCTGACTGCAGTGGGGTTTGAACCTGATCCGAACACCAAGGCTCTATCCACTGCGCCACACGCCTCCCTGCGTGTTACGCACATATACAGGTTCATTAAATACAGGACATCCTACCTATAGTTAGAGATTGACGATGCTACTCGTAGACGAGTATTACTGTCTTTTTATTGTGTGACATGCAACGTCTAAAGCAGGGTAAGCACAAAGTGAAAATGCAATGGTGGCTACTTTCTCTTTTATCTGTCTCTATATCACACTCTCAAACCGGGGTTGGTGAATGTTGTAAAGACACGCTTTTAGATGAGTTTTATGTCTGTTAAATAAAGGATTTAGTCAATTAAGTTCTTTGAATTGTCCAAAATAGTAATTGTGTCACTTCAAAGCTTGTAGTATCACATTGTCAGAAATGTCTACATGGTGAAGACAAAAGACAGATATAAGGTTTTTTCTTTAGTCCAGAGGAAAAGGGGCTTTACAGAATATAGCACAACTGAAGAATAAGAAGGGTTTAAAATAGTGTGTGCCCCCCCCCCCCCCCCCCCCCCCCAGTACAGTGACCAGAAGGTATTTCGGTCCTCAGAAGTGACTGCAGGTGCTCCAGTTTCGTCTACTGGGACAATTACTTAATGACCAGCATGTCCTGATATGGGATGTGGGGCATTTGAAATGAGACGCTCGACAGGAAAACTGCAACACTGGAACACTGGTGCAGTTAAAGAGAGGTCAGGAAACGTGTCGGATAAAAAAGAAAAAAGATGGAAGGTGTTGAGATGGAGTGGGTGAGTGGGAGAGAAAGGGAGGAGGTGGAGAGAATGAGAAGCAACATGGAGGAGGAGGAGGTGCACTTCTCTTGCCCCTGGCTTTCTGCAGAGATCCAAAAAGCTGCAACAGAAAACACTGATAATATGAGAACCCTTACACAACACTCTCTCTGCCTCTGTGTTAGCATGCATGCTATCAGAAAGCCTTTTGTTATTCGGGGGAGAAGAGGATAATGCAACACTTGTGAAAAAGTTGACGAGTGCCTTTGATTTAGTCAGCGCACAGAGCGGCTGTGGGCGGAAAATGTGACAAATCCAACTGGGGCATCAAGGTGGATGTTTTAAACACACCATAGAAATGCTTTTTATTAATGTGAGTAGATTTTTGTAAAAGCTCAGGGATGGTGTAAAAATGAAGAAGCAAATTCCCCAAAACCATGTTTTAAACTCGTACCGTAGAGAATCTTACTGTAGAATCACGTTTGGTATAGTGTCTTACACGTACGTACAGTATCATATTGTATAGTATTGTATCGTAGAGTATAGTATAGTATAATATCGTATAGTATCGTACAGTATCATATTGTATAGTATTGTATCGTATAGTATCGTGTAGTATAGTATCGTATAGTATCGTATAGTATCATATAGTATTGTATCGTATAGTATCCTATAGTATCCTATAGTATTGTATTTTATCGTAGAGTATTGTATCGTACAGTATTGTATCGTACAGTATCATACCGGAGAGTATGGCAGAGTATGGCAGAGTATCGTAGAGTATTGTATCGTAAAGTATCGTATCGTAGAGTAGAGTATTGCATTGTAGAGAATCATATCGTATAGTATTGTATCGAAGAGAATTGTATCGTAGAGAATCATATCGTATAGTATTGTATCGAAGAGAATTGCATTGTAGAGAATCATATCGTATAGTATTGTATCGAAGAGAATTGTATCGTAGAGAATCATATCGTATAGTATTGTATCGTAGAGTATCGTATTGTACAGTATCGTACCGTAAAGTATTGTATCGTAGAGTATCGTATCGTATCGTAGAGTATCATATCGTAGAGTATCGTAGAGTATCGTAGAGTATCGTATCGTATCGTAGAGTATCGTATCGTAGAGTATCGTATTGTATCATATTCTTTCTCTTTCTTCTATGTTTTCCTCAGGGCACCGTGAACAATCAGACAGGTATTTTCCCACAATCCTTTGTGAAGATCATTAAGCCGCTCCCAGAGAGTGAGGTGGAGGCAGAGGCTGGAGCTCCGACCTACAGCTGCCTGCGCTGCTTCCTGCTGACGCCCTCCGGAGTCCAGACCAGGTGTGTTCACCAACACTTCTGTATGTTTCACAATTAAAATAAACCGCAAATAAACCGCCAGCATTTCTAAAATGCATGATCTGTTTAGTATTTTGAGCAAAACACGTCATAGACATGTTTTTATATTTTTATATATCTTAGACCCATAATATATGCCTAAAAATAGCACGACAGGAGATCTCTAAGGTCTTCAATGACATCCACTTAAACACAGACAGTGGCAGAATCTCCGTGTTAGTATTATTAGATCTCAGTGCTGCGTTTGACACTTTGTTGACCACAACATATTGTGTTTACTACTTTCAGCAACATTTGTAAACTGGTTTGAATCCTACTTAAAGGACAGGGGAAACGTTGTTTCTATAGGTAACTACACATCTGAGCTGACACACATATGACATGTGGGGTTCCTCAAGGCTCCATCCTGGGGCCTCTTCTCTTTAACATCGACATGCTACCACTGACTATAGCTATGCAGACGACACACACATTTACATAACCATTTCACCAGGAGACTATGGTGTCACTCTTTAGTGTCCCCTGGTCTCCAGCTGTGTGCGTCACTCTTTAGTGTCCCCTGGTCTCCAGCTGTGTGCGTCACTCTTTAGTGTCCCCTGGTCTCCAGCTGTGTGCGTCACTCTTTAGTGTCCCCTGGTCTCCCCCTGGTCTCCAGCTGTGTGCGTCACTCTTTAGTGTCCCCTGGTCTCCAGCTGTGTGCGTCACTCTTTAGTGTCCCCTGGTCTCCCAGCTGTATGCGTCACTCTTTAGTGTCCCCTGGTCTCCCAGCTGTGTGCGTCACTCTTTAGTGTCCCCTGGTCTCCAGCTGTGTGCGTCACTCTTTAGTGTCCCCTGGTCTCCCAGCTGCACGCGTCACTCTTTAGTGTCCCCTGGTCCTCAGCTGTGTGCGTCACTCTTTAGTGTCCCCTGGTCTCCAGCTGTGTGCGTCACTCTTTAGTGTCCCCTGGTCTCCCAGCTGTGTGCGTCACTCTTTAGTGTCCCCTGGTCTCCAGCTGTGTGCGTCACTCTTTAGTCGCCCCTGGTCTCCCAGCTGTGTGCGTCACTCTTTAGTTTCCCCTGGTCTCCCAGCTGTGTGCGTCACTCTTTAGTGTCCCCTGGTCTCCCAGCAGCGTGCGTCACTCTTTAGTGTCCCCTGGTCTCCCAGCTGTGTGCGTCACTCTTTAGTGTCCCCTGGTCTCCCAGCTGTGTGCGTCACTCTTTAGTGTCCCCTGGTCTCCCAGCTGTGTGCGTCACTCTTTAGTGTCCCCTGGTCTCCCAGCTGTCTGCGTCACTCTTTAGTATCCCCTGGTCTCCCAGCTGTGTTCTGAGCTTCTTCAGCGTTTTGTATTTGCAGCTTTTAGTAAACGCTGCGCATGTCTCCTCAAGTTGCTGAAGATGTTTCTTAATGAGTACAGGAACTTTTGTGTTTTTATATCTGCATCGTTTCTTAAGCTTCAGCACGTTTCTCCTGACGGAAGAGATTTGGGGTGTTGAAGCGTTGCACCTGTCGGCCACAATACCTTACACCTTGTGGAGGATATACATGTGCTTTAAGGAGATGATTGTGTGTTTCTTTCAGAGATGTGTGTGTACAAGAAGACCTGACCATCCAGCCGACGTACAAGGAGCTGCTGTCTCGTATGAGGTTGGTTTTAACTGAATTATAGATCTTTCTATCACGTTTTAAGGGTACGATGGACATTGAAAAGTGTGTTTTTTTATGTTGTGTTTTTATTTCATTTGGACCCATGTGGGAAACGGTGATTGAGAGAAATGTGAGGATTAGTTCAGTGGGTGTGAAAAGCCGCCTTTATTTTTTAGATGTAGAGGGGGAAATGATTTGATGCGACCCGACACCTGTGAGTGAACTACAGCACCTTCCAACATGTGATAATGGAACAAAAACTATTTGATGATACAAGCCTGAAGAGCAGGCAGTGAAGCGTCTGACAATATCTCTCTTATTGCATCAAAATCAACACATTTTCACAAATATTATTCACATATGAAATGTTATGTTAGTCTTTTTCAAGTTTCATACTACAACTGTTATTGAATTACAACAAAGAAAAGGTACCTATTGCTTTTACCTAGCAAGATATAGGGCACTTAAAATAAATCTGACATAACATCAGGTTAATGTGATGGAACAGTTTATTAAATTAGCAGATTTATTCAATTTTAGACTAATCTAGTCATTATATAATCTATAATATCATCATGATGTTTAAGACAGATCTTGATATACTACAGCCCTTCTTTACTGTTTCTTAAATCCTCCTCTTTCTTTTTTTAAATCTTCTTTCTTCTCTTTCTCCTACTCACTCCTGCCTCCCCCGTCCTCCTCCCCCTCCCACAGTATTAAAACAGACATATTAAAACACAAGTCCAGGGTCTCATCCTTCCTTCTCCAGGGCTCAATATGCCTGAACACAGAAAAACAATATTGAGCAGATAAGCGGAAGGAATGGACTGATTATGAACGGAGAGGCTAATCATCGCTCACATATCTAAATTACCAGATAATGAGAGGGGGAGAAAGAAGAGGGAGATAAGTCAGGGAGGAACAGATATGATGGTGTAATAAGCATATGCATGGGGGGGGGGGTCCGGAGGGAAGTCATTTCACGAGAGGCGGTGACAGGCAACCGGCAATTTACAGGTTTGCGGTGCAGAACAGTATAATATGTGCAGGACGGGGAATTAATCCAGCTTTACTCATTAGGGTTTGTCCTGGGATTCATACGGAACAATACAGAGGCAGAGAAACACAAGAAATACTCTGATTATTAAAGAGGACATATCCTGCTGATGTTCAGGTGTATATCAGTATGTAGTGTCTCTACTTTAAAGAGTCCTCTCCTGCTGATGTTCAGGTGTATATCAGTATGTAGTGTCTCTACTTTAAAGAGTCCTCTCCTGCTGATGTTCAGGTGTATATCAGTATGTAGTGTCTCTACTTTAAAGAGTCCTCTCCTGCTGATGTTCAGGTGTATATCAGTATGTAGTGTCTCTACTTTAAAGAGTCCTATCCTGCTGATGTTCAGGTGTATATCAGTATGTAGTGTCTCTACTTTAAAGAGTCCTCTCCTGCTGATGTTCAGGTGTATATCAGTATGTAGTGTCTCTACTTTAAAGAGTCCTCTCCTGCTGATGTTCAGGTGTATATCAGTATGTAGTGTCTCTACTTTAAAGAGTCCTCTCCTGCTGATGTTCAGGTGTATATCAGTATGTAGTGTCTCTACTTTAAAGAGTCCTATCCTGCTGATGTTCAGGTGTATATCAGTATGTAGTGTCTCTACTTTAAAGAGTCCTATCCTGCTGATGTTCAGGTGTATATCAGTATTTAGTGTCTCTACTTTAAAGAGTCCTCTCCTGCTGATGTTCAGGTGTATATCAGTATGTAGTGTCTCTACTTTAAAGAGTCCTCTCCTGCTGATGTTCAGGTGTATATCAGTATGTAGTGTCTCTACTTTAAAGAGTCCTCTCCTGCTGATGTTCAGGTGTATATCAGTATGTAGTGTCTCTACTTTAAAGAGTCCTCTCCTGCTGATGTTCAGGTGTATATCAGTATGTAGTGTCTCTACTTTAAAGAGTCCTCTCCTGCTGATGTTCAGGTGTATATCAGTATGTAGTGTCTCTACTTTAAAGAGTCCTCTCCTGCTGATGTTCAGGTGTATATCAGTTTGTAGTGTCTCTACTTTAAAGAGTCCTCTCCTGCTGATGTTCAGGTGTATATCAGTATGTAGTGTCTCTACTTTAAAGAGTCCTCTCCTGCTGATGTTCAGGTGTATATCAGTATGTGGTGTCTCTACTTTAAAGAGTCCTCTCCTGCTGATGTTCAGGTGTATATCAGTTTGTAGTGTCTCTACTTTAAAGAGTCCTCTCCTGCTGATGTTCAGGTGTATATCAGTTTGTAGTGTCTCTACTTTAAAGAGTCCTCTCCTGCTGATGTTCAGGTGTATATCAGTATGTAGTGTCTCTACTTTAAAGAGTCCTCTCCTGCTGGTGTTCAGGTATATATCAGTATGTAGTGTCTCTACTTTAAAGAGTCCTCTCCTGCTGATGTTCAGGTGTATATCAGTATGTAGTGTCTCTACTTTAAAGAGTCCTCTCCTGCTGGTGTTCAGTTATATATCAGTATGTGGTGTCTCTACTTTAAAGAGTCCTCTCCTGCTGATGTTCAGGTGTATATCAGTTTGTAGTGTCTCTACTTTAAAGAGTCCTCTCCTGCTGATGTTCAGGTGTATATCAGTTTGTAGTGTCTCTACTTTAAAGAGTCCTCTCCTGCTGATGTTCAGGTGTATATCAGTATGTAGTGTCTCTACTTTAAAGAGTCCTCTCCTGCTGGTGTTCAGGTATATATCAGTATGTAGTGTCTCTACTTTAAAGAGTCCTCTCCTGCTGATGTTCAGGTGTATATCAGTATGTAGTGTCTCTACTTTAAAGAGTCCTCTCCTGCTGGTGTTCAGTTATATATCAGTGTGTAGTGTCTCTACTTTAAAGAGTCCTCTCCTGCTGATGTTCAGGTGTATATCAGTATGTCGTGTCTCTACTTTAAAGAGTTCTCTCCTGCTGATGTTCAGGTGTATATCAGTATGTAGTGTCTCTACTTTAAAGAGTCCTCTCCTGCTGATGTTCAGGTGTATATCAGTTTGTAGTGTCTCTACTTTAAAGAGTCCTCTCCTGCTGATGTTCAGGTGTATATCAGTATTTAGTGTCTCTACTTTAAAGAGTCCTCTCCTGCTGATGTTCAGGTGTATATCAGTATGTAGTGTCTCTACTTTAAAGAGTCCTCTCCTGCTGGTGTTCAGGTATATATCAGTATTTAGTGTCTCTACTTTAAAGAGTCCTCTCCTGCTGATGTTCAGGTGTATATCAGTATGTAGTGTCTCTACTTTAAAGAGTCCTCTCCTGCTGGTGTTCAGGTATATATCAGTATGTAGTGTCTCTACTTTAAAGAGTCCTCTCCTGCTGATGTTCAGGTGTATATCAGTATGTAGTGTCTCTACTTTAAAGAGTCCTCTCCTGCTGATGTTCAGGTGTATATCAGTATGTAGCGTCTCTACTTTAAAGAGTCCTCTCCTGCTGATGTTCAGGTGTATATCAGTATGTAGTGTCTCTACTTTAAAGAGTCCTCTCCTGCTGATGTTCAGGTGTATATCAGTATGTAGTGTCTCAACTTTAAAGAGTCCTCTCCTGCTGATGTTCACGTGTATATCAGTATGTAGTGTCTCTACTTTAAAGAGTCCTCTCCTGCTGATGTTCAGGTGTATATCAGTATGTAGTGTCTCTACTTTAAAGAGTCCTCTCCTGCTGATGTTCAGGTGTATATCAGTATGTAGTGTATCTACTTTAAAGAGTCCTCTCCTGCTGATGTTCAGGTGTATATCAGTATGTAGTGTCTCTACTTTAAAGAGTCCCCTTCTGCTGATGTTCAGGTGTATATCAGTATGTAGTGTCTCTACTTTAAAGAGTCCTCTCCTGCTGATGTTCAGGTGTATATCAGTATGTAGTGTCTCTACTTTAAAGAGTCCTCTCCTGCTGATGTTCAGGTGTATATCAGTTTGTAGTGTCTCTACTTTAAAGAGTCCTCTCCTGCTGATGTTCAGGTGTATATCAGTATTTAGTGTCTCTACTTTAAAGAGTCCTCTCCTGCTGATGTTCAGGTGTATATCAGTATGTAGTGTCTCTACTTTAAAGAGTCCTCTCCTGCTGGTGTTCAGGTATATATCAGTATGTAGTGTCTCTACTTTAAAGAGTCCTCTCCTGCTGATGTTCAGGTGTATATCAGTATGTAGTGTCTCTACTTTAAAGAGTCCTCTCCTGCTGATGTTCAGGTGTATATCAGTATGTAGTGTCTCTACTTTAAAGAGTCCTCTCCTGCTGGTGTTCAGTTATATATCAGTGTGTAGTGTCTCTACTTTAAAGAGTCCTCTCCTGCTGATGTTCAGGTGTATATCAGTATGTAGTGCCTCTACTTTAAAGAGTCCTCTCCTGCTGATGTTCAGGTGTATATCAGTATGTAGTGTCTCTACTTTAAAGAGTCCTCTCCTGCTGATGTTCAGGTGTATATCAGTATGTAGTGTCTCAACTTTAAAGAGTCCTCTCCTGCTGATGTTCAAGTGTATATCAGTATGTAGTGTCTCTACTTTAAAGAGTCCTCTCCTGCTGATGTTCAGGTGTATATCAGTATGTAGTGTCTCTACTTTAAAGAGTCCTCTCCTGCTGATGTTCAGGTGTATATCAGTATGTAGTGTATCTACTTTAAAGAGTCCTCTCCTGCTGATGTTCAGGTGTATATCAGTATGTAGTGTCTCTACTTTAAAGAGTCCCCTCCTGCTGATGTTCAGGTGTATATCAGTATGTAGTGTCTCTACTTTAAAGAGTCCTCTCCTGCTGATGTTCAGGTGTATATCAGTATGTAGTGTCTCTACTTTAAAGAGTCCTCTCCTGCTGATGTTCAGGTGTATATCAGTATGTAGTGTCTCTACTTTAAAGAGTCCTCTCCTGCTGATGTTCAGGTGTATATCAGTATGTAGTGTCTCTACTTTAAAGAGTCCTCTCCTGCTGATGTTCAGGTGTATATCAGTATGTAGTGTCTCTACTTTAAAGAGTCCTCTCCTGCTGATGTTCAGGTGTATA